ACGGCATGCATGAAAAATATAGCAGCATGTGGGGGGAGTGAGCCGCGGGAGGGCCACGCTGCAGGTCAACATCGAATTCTGCGCGCACTATCGGATTCTTTGAAATGCCATGACGGCGCACTAGCCTTGGAGTCGCTCTCAACACTTTCCCACCAACCCCCATCGAGATGGAAGTCTTCACGTGAAGGGTGCAAAGTGCGCGGGCTGCACAGACGGCGACTGGCTTCGGGAGATTCAGCGCGCAGGACGGAGGCAGGCTATGGTCCATGGCCCCAACGGTTGCACGAGCCGGCGTGTGTCTAATTGGCGGGCGGGGCACAGTGATGCGCGACTAAATGGGGAAGCTCCCGCAGCTGTCAGGTTAGCAGAGCAGGCGCCGGCGCAGTCTGACGACGGTCTTCCGTGCAACTTGCGTAAAGATGACCGTCGTCGAGTCAAGGTCTTCGCTGATTGCAGTGCGACGGTGGAGAGGCCCACCAAACGCGCTGTGCGTGCCGGTGTGGCCGTACGTCATACCGCGGGGCTGAAATCTTGCAATTTGCGGCCATGGACACGAAAGTATCAAGTACGCCCCTTGCCGTAAGCCGCACGCCTCATCCAGGAACAGCAGCCAGATATCCTGAATTTGCCCAACCCCCAGCCCAGCACGCCGGCAGCACTTTCTTGCTTGGGCCCGCCTCGACACGCGTAACCTAGGCCATCACGATCGATCGAAGCTGCCGGAAATTTCACTGCGCGCGCCCACCGCCTCTATAACTTCACCTCGTCTGCCCCAAGCCATTGCGCAGGACCCGCTTCTCCCGCCTATATCTGATTGCCATTTCTCCACCATTTCTACAACCTCAATCTCTGACCAGCGGGCGCCCACGCCAGACTGCTGCCCAACATGACCACCCACGTCGTCTCCCTGTAGGTACCGCTTTCCACTTGTCAGCCTGAATCAACCTGTAGATAGCGCACTATGATTCCAATCTGCACCGCGTTCGCCCCTTAACAGCGCTAGTTTCCTCCCGTATACCGTCGACTTCCACGAGTCCAAGTCCAACCCCCCAAGCCCGCCAGACGCCGCTCCCCCGAAGCTGAGCGAGACCGCCCGCGAGTCCTCCGCTACTAGTATAGCCAAATCGCGGCCCGTCAGCAAGAATGCAGCTGAGGAGCAGACCCCGAGCCTCCTTAAGCGGGCGCCGCCGACACACATCCAGCTGCCCAAGACGCCCATGCGTATGACGGAGCATGAGGACTTCTTCACGCCCGGCCAGCCCAGCGCGGCCACGCACTTCCCCAAGCCAGCAGACCCCCGGGGCCTGGTACGTAGCGATGCCCATGTCCCCGAATGGGGTACTACCGGTCTCTTCTTCAACCAGCCCATGTCCAGGGCCGAGCCAGCGCCTCCCGACACCATCCTCGAATACGCAAAGGCGCAGGAGCGGGCGCAGGCCCAGAAGGAGCGCATGAAGGGCTCTCACGCCGGCAAGCCCACAACGGACCCGCGGTGGGCTACCGAGTACTCCGTCGTGCCAGCTGTCCAGGGCAACGGCGGCCTGACCAACGCGCTGCGCTGTGCCGTGGACAACAAATGTATTAGTGACACCATCACTGTCGGCTTGATCGGATTCCCCACAGACAGCTTGAACGAGGAGAAGAAGACGGAGATCTACGAGAAGCTCGAGGAGGAGCAGGACGCGCTCACCGTCTTCGTCAGCGATAAGGACTTCGATGGCCACTATGCGCACTACTGCAAGACCATCCTGTGGCCAGTCTTCCACTACATCATCCCCGACCACCCCAAGAGTAAGGCTTTCCTCGACCACTCATGGGTCTTCTACGTCAAGGTCAACCAGGCCTTTGCCGACAAGGTCGTCAAGAACTACAAGCGCGGAGACGTCATCTGGATCCACGACTACCACCTGTGTCTGGTCCCACAGATGATCCGCGAGAAGCTTCCAGATGCACAGATCGGCTTCTTCCTCCACACTGCGTTCCCCTCCTCCGAGGTCTTCCGCTGCTTGGCCGCGCGGAAGGAGCTGCTCAACGGCATGCTCGGGGCGAACCTAGTCGCTTTCCAGACACCAGAGTATTCCCACCACTTCCTGCAGACGTGCAGTCGAATTCTCTCCGTCGAGGCTACTGAGGACGGTGTCCAACTTGAGAACCGCTTCGTCAACGTACACTCATCGCCTATCGGCATTGATCCTCGCGCTCTCGCCCTGGCCCGCGAGGAACCTGAGGTGCTAGAGTGGATTCAGACCATGCAGAAGCGGTACGAGGGCAAGAAGGTCATCGTTGCTCGCGACAAGCTCGACAACATCCGTGGTGTAAGGCAGAAGCTGTTAGCGTTTGAGTTGTTCCTCAACAAGAACCCCGAGTGGAAAGACAAGGTTGTTATGATCCAAGTCGCCACATCTACCACCGAAGACACCGAACTCGCTGCAACCGTCTCCGAGATCGTCACTCGTATCGACGCGGTTCATTCAACCTTGACGCACAACCCTCTCGTCTTCCTGAGGCAGGATATCGCATTCTCGCAATATCTCGCGCTTCTTTCCATTGCCGATGCTCTCGCGATTACCAGTCTTCGTGAAGGCATGAATCTTACTTGCCACGAATTCGTCATCTGCCAGGATGGTCGCGCGAGTCCGAAGAAGCACGGTCCTGTCATCCTCAGTGAGTTCACCGGAAGTGCTTCAGTGTTCCAAGGTGCCGACTTGGCTGTGAACCCCTGGGACTACAACAGCATCGCACAAGCGTTCAAGGTCGCCTTGGAGATGACTGATTCCGAAAAGGAACGTAGATATACCAAGTTGCGCGATACGGTTATGCACCAGACTGGCGACTTCTGGGTTAACAACCTCAGCTGCCATCTCTCAAAGGTCCACGAGGAGCAGTTCAAGCGCGACACTATGTCTATTCCCCGCCTTTCGTCCAGCAATCTTGCGCGTACCTACCAGGCATCTCAGCGACGACTCTTTGTACTCGACTACGAAGGCACCCTCGCATCCTACGGATCTGTTAACAACACCGTCCTGGCGAACACTGAGCGTGTCATTGTCGTGCTGAACGACCTTGTTGCTGATGACAAGAATGATGTTTACGTCATGACTGGACGTACTGTTCGAGAGACTGAGCTCATCTTTAACCGCGTGCGAGGTCTCGGTCTCATCGCGGAGAATGGTTGCTTCTTGCGCGAGCCCAGCGCGAAAGAGTGGATACAATTCCCCGACGAAGAGAAGACTGTGAAGTGGAAAGACTCCGTCAAGCCCATCTTGCAGTACTACCTCGAGCGTGTCGAGGGTAGTTGGGTTGAAGAGCGCCACTGCTCCATGATCTTCCACTACAGAGCGCCCAACGACAAGGATGATTCCGCAAGCCGACATGCTGGTGACTGCGCTAATCACATTAACGATGCATGCGAGCAGCAGCGCATAAAGGCGGTTCCCACCAAGGACTCAGTTGTCATCGAGCCGATCGACTTTGACAAGGCCTCCGCTTCACAATACATCTTCAGCAAGTACCCTGAGAAGGGACGACCTGACTTTGTGTTCGCGGCTGGAAACGACCGAAGTGACGAGGGTGTTTTCCGATGGGCAGAGCAGCTGAAGGAGGAATGGAAGGTTCCCAATGTCCAGACCGTTACCGTGGGTGACCGCAACTCAATCGCCATGTCGACATTGCCCAACGGCGCAACCGGTAAGTTCGCATTCTTGAATTTTCAACAAGACTCCACTAACACATCCCGCAGGTCTTCTCGGCGCCCTGAGCAAACTCGCGAAGAACCCTCGTACACCTTGAAACATTGGAGTACTTTGGGCAAGCGAGCAAACATGAACCTCTCTGCACGGGATATGTCTAGCGCATTTCGATACCCTCCTTACGACCTGATGATTGGTAATGGTAACGAAAGCACGGGGAACTTACTTTGGAATGAAGGGATTGCGAAAGGGATGTTACGCACGAATGAATGTCAAGCATGGGTGGAGTCCGGTTGGTCTTTTCCTATGATAGATCTTTTCTACTCTCAATACGGAACCTAGAATCTTCTTCATGATGGTGTTGCTAACATATGTACAGTGATGCTGTGATAGTGCTGTGGAGTCTATCAATCTCATCAATACGTGACCGACTAACGACAATCGAGGCATGTGTGAAGGGCTACTGTGGCTCACGCCACGTCTGGCGTATCTTTGGACATGCACAAACAGCGATCCCGTTGGCGTCGCGTCAGTGCGAAGTTATAATAAGGTATGCCAGCCTCCAACTGCAAAGCCGCGGCTATATAATGTCGTTCTCTAGCTTAGACAGACAGGAACTTGGACAAGACTTAAGCACAATGTAGCACATAAACACTTCGAAAGCCAAAGGGTGACACCAATTTGTTCATTCAAATGGCAACTGCAGTCCACGCTGCAAACACAAAGATATATACCACGAAAGATATTTAGAAGCGAATCAACAAGGCATCAAGAAGGGTATCGCTTAAATCAAAAGTATCATCCGTCATCAAAAACCCCAAGCCCATCAACTAGAACCCAACCCCCCCATTTCGACACCTCAAACCTAAGCAAAGTTGCCACCAGCAGTCTTCTTACTATCCGCCGCAATACTAACGCCCTTGACCACAATCTCCTTACCCCCCTCACTCGTAATCTTAACATCGACGCTATCCGCGCCAAAGCCAGCCGGGTTCTCAAAGAAGTTGTACGGCTTGCGGGTAGTCGCCTGCCAGGTCTTGCCCGAGTCGACGGAGACTTCGAGTTTGGAGACGGCCACGTTGGAGTTCATGACTTGCATGCTGAACCAGAATTTGGAGGTGCCGGATTTGTTCTTGAGGACGATGGGGGTGGTGATGCCGCAGGGGACGGGGGTCCAGTCGACGTTGATTATGCCCTTGGAGGGCTCTGCCAGTTTGGCGAAGCCGTCGGGGTAGAGGTCGAGGTGGTTGGGGCCGCAGCTGGGGGTGGGGTTAGTATGTGTTTTTTGTGAGATTTGTACGGTGGGATTGCTTACCCTGGGCATTGGTCGGTGACCATGGCGGTGATTTTGTTACCGTTGGGGCCGGTTACGCTGACGCACACACCGCAGGCGTTGCCGTTGTCCCAGTTGGAGTCGGAGAGCGCGGTGCCGTAGAGACCGGCGGGGATGGTGTAGCCAACGAAAGAGCACATGCCGCCCTCAGTGTTTCCGCCGTAGAAAGTGGCTTCGCCGCGCTTGGAAGCGGCAGATGAGACGGCAGCCTTGTCAGCGGGAGCCGCGGCTTGAGATGCGGCAGGAGCTGGAGCCTTGGACTCGGAGGCAGGCACTGCGGCAGCGCTGGATGACTGGGCGGCAGCGTAGGACTTTGATGCTTCACTCTGGGGAATGGGAGTGTAGGCGAGCGAGCTGTAGTCTAGCTTGGTGGTCGGGAGGACGCTCATGGTAGGGTAGGAGGGCGAGTCGGAAGATCCTGCAGGCTTGAAGAGAGCAGAGGTAGTGGCGTTGCCATAAGGAGCACCGGTTGGGCGAACGGTGACGGTGGTGAGGATCTCCTTGGTGCTGGTGGATGTGATATCCTCGACAGCATCGGGAGTAGCAGAGCCAGCATCGGGGGAGACAGTGACGTAGACCTTCTCGTAGGTGGTGGTGTAGACAGTGCTCCTGGAGGAGCAAGCGCCAGACTTGCTAGCGGTGGCGTCGGCAACATCCACGGGCTTTGCAGTCTCGTACACTGTTTCAGTTGCGGTAGTGGTGACAGTCTGCTGGGAGCAGACGGACTCAGCAACAGCGAGACCCGCGATGGGGAGAAGAGAGAAGAAGGTGGACTTCATGGTGTCTGATGACTGTTTGATGGAGTGACGGAAGATGGAATTCGAACGACGACTTGTTGGAAAAGACTGTGTAGGATCGTATCAACGAGTCCAAGTAATGAATGGCAGCAGCTCAGCGGCTTGCAAAAAAAGATGGAAGTTCGACTTCGTGTTGAGAGAGTTACCAGAAGCTTGAAGCTCTACGAAAGGGCGTCCCCGCCCTACATAAAGGCCTCGAACAACGCTTACATCTCATTTTACTTGACTAACCCAACGCAGCGCCACGCAGTAAACTAACATGTGGAAATTTGCGCTCGGGAGGAATGCGAATAAGCTCATCTCTTGATCACCAATTCCGTTGTCTCGACCCACCGAACGTAGCGGGAAAATGCCGGCCAGGTACCCACGCGCTTCTCGCCTTTTTCTAGTCCAGCCCCAGTGATATGCATCCGTTGATTGACGGGAGTTTGGGGTTGAGCAAGTCAGAGTCCGTTTCAGAAAATGCTTGTGTCAATGCTTGGTATGATGAGTTGGGGGCATTGTGAGTCGTGTGGCGCTAAGGCGTAGGATGCGCTAAAAGGCGATCAAACATGCGTGAGATGAGAAGACGGGAACACGCAGTATTTTTGAAATTCGCTGCCGGGAACCGGATTTTGAAAAGTAGAACACCGCAAGCGACGTTCTACAACTGCCTGTTGCGCAGCCGTAGCATGATGCGTTGTTTAGCAGTAACGCCGCGAGTGTGTTGTGTGGCTATGCGATACTAATTCGGGAACCAAAGCGTTTCAAGGAAACCGATTTGTGGCACTTCGGGACTTTATCGGCCGTGTAGTACAGTCGCGTGGTAACTACTAGTGAGTCTAGAACCAGTGTATATATTACACGAAATACCGAGCGTAGTCCGGTGATGGTCCGGTGGATATTGTTGACTCGGTAGACGCCCGCAACATCGTCGACGAACCTGCTACATGATCCCGCATCCTCCACGTTGCGCCTAGATGGAACCCGATCTGTAGACTGTTGACCATATCAGAACTGTGAGTCCACAAACGGATGTAAGGATGCGTAGATGTAGATCCGAAGTCTTCCCCATACAAGTATAACAGGCTAGATCATACAATTACAGCCCCGCGATGGCGTCGGTGATACTCCTACCATCAATCTAAATATCGGCTCCTTCCAGAGAGATTGTTCGCTGAGAAGTCGCTTGCATTCGGGTGTAGCCAGAATTGTCGTAGTCGCGGTGACAGCACACACGTCGAAGTCTCCGCTTGGAACAGGGCCATGCCAACCAGAACCGCTGCGATGTCGCGACATCTTGGTCTTCCCAAAGAATACGAGGGTAGTTTCTTCCTGGTCATCTGTGACCTGTATGACGAATCAATTGCGCTTGAGCGCGTTCTCGCCTTGCTTCGTCGCCGAGCAAAGTTGTGGACGGCGTAATCTAGCAACTAATGACAAGCTGCCGTCATCTGGACGTTCATTCCACGACGATGCAGAAGTTGTTCATTCCCGGTCCGTCTCTGATCTTCCTTTTCTCAGCCGTCGTAGCCTTAGGCTCATTCGTCAAGGTAAACAAGTAGTAACACAGCTTTGAACTGTTTTTGCTGAATCTCATCGTAAAACCTAGATCGCGCATGATTCCCAGAAACAGATCTTCGTCGAGATAGCGTGAGTTGTCGACGCACGGTAGAGGTAGAACAAAGAATAGAGCTGGCAACACCGAATCGGCCATCTCAGTCCATGCAACGCCCTTTCTCAAGAACTTGGTCATGCGTTTCAGCATCTCGCCTCGACCAACTGCATCCGGAACATAGTTGAGTACGAGAGATAGGGAGATAATGTCGAAGCGCTCATCGTCGCATGTAGGAAGTGGCCGCTCCATGAAATCCTGCTTTTCGATGCCTGGCCCTTGACTGTTCAGATCGATCCTCGTCATGTCGATGATGCTTGCGTACTTGGAGATCTCGTTCTTAGTTGACAAAGCTCCGACTTCGAGACATCTGAGTTCGGGGTCGCCAGCCCTACGACGATCTCGTGCTTTGGGGTCCAAAACCTTGGATTGCTGGAGCCAGTCGACTAACAGCTTGCTAGAATCACCACCCCTGTCTTTCGCCTGACCTTGCTTGCTTGCAGCCTGATACATCTTGATGCCTCCATTCTTCTCGATAGCTTGCGCAATCTCTTCTGCTGAACTCACATCCCCTTTCTTCAGAGCTGCTGCATGCTCCTTCTGTAGTCGGTGATGGGTACGAATGATAGTCCTGGAGCGCTCCGAGGTCATACGCTCTTTCGGCTTGCTGACGGGTGGTCGGCCATGCGACAGAGTCTTTTGGCGCTTTTTGACGGCCATGACGATTTTGATGTTGCAGTCACATGGCTGAGGTAAGGTGATGGTTGAGCGACGCCGAGAGCTCAGATGCAAGGATTTGGCGCTAGTGTGTTAGCGTGCTTTCTTCCCACACTCAACTTGTAGCCGGAGCAAAAACCACAACTTTTCGATTGCGACTCTCGACACTAACTCCAGGACCACCACAACCGCCAAAATGGGACCCAAGGCCGTATCCAAGAGTACGTCAACGCAGATACCGCAACCGCGAAATCGAGGAGGAGCATACATGTCGCAAAGTGGCACCGGACCACGGCAGCAGTCTGTGGAAAAGGGAACTTTGCGAATGCGCCTCGATCAGCGACCCTCCCATTGCGCTCATCGCTAACATCCTTCACAGCCCCTACCAAGACTGGCAAGCAGGCCAATGCTGCTGCCAAAGCGGCCCTCCGCGGCGTAAGCCTCCCTTGATCCTCTTGAGTCGTGTCAGAAACATACCTCTGACGGGCTGTACTTCTCGTGTGATGGGCACAATTAACGAGATGACAGTCGTATGCGAACAAGAAGCGCGCGATCAGGAAGAACACCAGCTTCCACCGGTATGCCCGACCCCAAGACTGCGAGATGTTGCCTGCTAACGTGTCGCAGCCCCAAGACCCTCGAGCTGTCCCGCGCCGGCAAGTACCCTCGCAAGTCGGTCCCCCATGCCCCCCGCATGGACGCCGAGAAGGTCCTCATCCACCCTCTCAACACCGAGTCGGCCATGAAGAAGATTGAGGAGAACAACACCCTCGTCTTCATCTGCAACGTCAAGGCCAACAAGCGCCAAATCGCCGCCGCCCTCAAGAAGCAGTACGACGTCAGCTGCGTCAAGATCAACACCCTGATCCGCCCCGACGGCTCAAAGAAGGCTTTCTGCCGCCTTACCGCCGATGTCGACGCTCTCGACATTGCGGCCACCAAGCTCGCCATCGTTTAGAGAGGTGGTCTCTGTATAAGGGAAGGCATGGTCATGATAGGGTCTGGTTATACCCGGCAATGGAAAAAGCGATGTGATATGCATGGCGGGCGTTCATGGGATAAACGTAGTCACGGTGACTCGAATGAATCAGATTTCCACATGACGCCAAGTTGGACTTGGTCCTCAACAACCTTTACATTTCCCTGCTGTGACATCGTTCTTTCCTGAATTGTGATTCCTGGACATGCAACATAGCTCGATCTTTCAGCCACAGAAACATCCGAATAGCCATGAAAGTTTGCTCGGTAGGAGAGATCAATGCAAAGCTGGACGCAGCGCAATGTCTATCATATACTCATATCTCCATTTCCAATGACATGCACCCAACGCTTCCCGCCATGCAGTGTTGTACAGATCATCAAGTCTCATTATCATACACTCCCGTGTCACCCCTCCCCTCTCTTCCCATACACCATCTATCCCCTCAACCTCTCCAACTCCCTCAGCACAACCATATTCGCATCCAAGAACCGATCCACACACTGCCTCATGCACGGCTCCTCGTACTTGTCCAATTTGCCCGCCTTGACGGTACCCGCGGGGATGCATTTGCGGAAACATGTGTCGGTGAGGGAGTGTATCGCTATTTGGGGAAGCTGAGTTAGCGAATGGGTACTTATGGGAGTGGGAAATGGGAAGGCGGGAAGGAAGGGCTTTGGGTAGAGGGTGTGATGGTCGAGGGCGGTTGTATCCACAGAGGGAGGTGGTAGAGGCATAGTGCATAGACTCAATTCGTCGCAAGAGAGCTTCTAGAGGGATAAAAAGACGTACAAGATTGAATCCTAGCCTTCTGTCCCTCATTCATAGCGAATTGCTGAAGTTCCTGCTTGTCGCGGTCGGACAGCTTGCTCAAGTCGGCGTTGCCGAAACCGCCACCACCTAGGGAGTCCATCTTTTCTTGTGTATATGTAGTCGCGAGACTGCGCCGGCTTGTATCGTGGGGTTCGCTAGGTTGAGGACGGAGATGGTCGTGGCTGGTTGCAAGTGCGGGCTGTAGTTTTTGTCTGGATTGACGTACTTGAAGCTTTGCGCATCGGAGGTTCCGCCGCGGATGGGGCCGATGGGGGTTAGTCAGCCTTTGGGGTGAGACGAGCAGTCATGAGGTTTGGATTTGCCAGACTTCCTTATGTCTCTAGATATGATATCGCATTCTATATACTCTCTCTTTTCCAAGGTCCAAAGTGTCAGATTGACAAAAGGTCCGGTGTCATGAATGGAAGGAACAACAAAACACTACCTGGGCAGCGTCATCCTTAGAACATGCTCCCGAACAACTTGTTTTCCATCTTCACTTCTTCGCACTACTCGGGTCTCATTGTATACATCAACACCCTCCGCAATTTCCTCTTCGCTCGCTGCAGATGCCGTGGGACCGGCAACATAAAACAAGAGATAGGGCCAGTTACCCTTTTCGTCTGACTTGAACACTCTCACCTTGGAGATGAACTTGTTACCCCCCAACCGTCTCTTGTGCTGCATGAGAAAGTAGCCAGCCCATCTCCCAACAGGACTTCCCAATAGAGCTTTTCCAGCGTCCGTTTCCATGCTAAAATCGTGTCCTGGCCACCGCTCCGGATCCTCTTTCGGTGGCGACAGCGTACCCAGCGCACGCTCGATGTGTCGAGTTGTCTCTGGATTGACGATCAGCATAACGAATAGATACCTGATGTTCTGAAAGTTCCGCCTGTTGGTATGAACGCGATTCCAGAACGCCCACGCCATGTCCGAGGCACTGCGTATAGCAGGCAGTTCATCGGCAAGGGGAACGCGGTCCCACAGCACACTTGCTCCTTTTGCGGCGGAGTAAAGAGAATTTGCGTATATTGCGCCTGCTTGTGAGTTGACGCCGATGTTGAAGCCTGCGTTCGTAACGCGGTAGTATTTGCCGCACACCTCGTATATTTGATGATCTATGGCGGGCATCTCGCCATCTATCTTCAACACCGCTGGGCTGTAGCAATGCTCGATTTTGAAACACTGGTTTGGACCACCCTGGCGCATGCTCTTGGTTCCAATGCCTAGATCGTTAAAGGCTCTCTTCAGCAGGTGGGTTGAAGAGCTGTCGAAGTCGCATTCTGGGTCTGCCTGTTTGGCGAGAGCTTCATTTGCATCGTTATAGCCCCATTCACGTAGCTTGGCGACGAGGTCACCGTCGAATGGACTTTCCGCAGTGGTGCCTAGGTTGTAGAGAGCCGCGGCTTCAGCGTCGCTGGATTTCATGCCTTGGAGGAGCTTGGCACCGCGGGCGACAGCCAGTGCCCATCGGTCGTCGTCGGCCGCTGTAAACGGCTCGGTGGCGGCATCGAAATGAAGTTTGTTGGCGAAGGTGGAATTGGTGAAGAATGCGAGTGTAGTGTTGGAAGGAGCGGCTGGGGGGACAATAGCCAGAACAGAAGTTGCGAACAACAGCAAGACCCTCATCGAGCGTGATTTGAGACCCGCCCACATTCTTGGCTAGTTGCAACGGGTGTTGAATTAAGAATATTGTAGATCCCAAAGATAAAAATGTATAATGAAACAGCCGAATCTGGTAATTCCCTCCACAAGTGTCCGCCGAAAGTGTCTCAATAAGATATCAGGAAATCGAATAAATCCGCCTACATATATGTGTGCATGGTTGAAGATGGCGGATGCGATATCGGGGGGCAGGCAATCGACAAGGCGGTCTAGATAAGTCAGTCTAAGTAGGATGGTGAGGAAATACCATCGCAGTAAAAGATGAGAGAGCAAACACAGCCAGTAAGCGGTGAAGCGTCAGAGTTCAGTTTTGCCTCTATGTTGACCAACACACGAGAAGCACATTGGGAGAATGCAGACCTCAAACTCACTTGATGCTATGCAAAATAATATTCCATATTGAGAACAACCCTCCAAATGCACAAGAACGCCATACCTATTAGCACCCGGATATCAAACTTTTACTAAACAAACACATTACCAGACAACTATTGTCATTCCGACATCGTCATGATCTCCATACTTTCGTTCCTAAGCCCCAATCATCTCTTTGGGCAGGCATGCAAAAACAGTGCTGATGATAGCCATAATAGTGCTGACGACAATCAACACCCAGTTCATCGTCTTCTCCCCACTAGATATCTCTTTTCCGAACAATTTCAAGTGAAACGCCAAGGGTAGGATGATGCAAATGCTAAAGCAGGCGACACTGCCGAGGAGTGTCATAATGCGGTCGAATGAAGGAAATACGATTGCGATGATAACGAATATGACGATGGTAACGATGCGAAGGGTGATCTTGAGCGCTCCTCGAGTGAGTCCGCTCATGCCGTCGATGGACGAGGACATGGCCAGGGAGCGCGTGTCCAGACCGAAGAGAACTTCCAACGTGCTGACGATAGGGCGTGCGTTGAGCGGGATCTTGGTCAACGGAATGATGGCGATGCAGATGGCGATGAAAACGGATATGCCTTGAGGAAAGCCTTTGGTGAGGAAGATGTTGCTTGTCACTTCCTCTTTGACACCGTCTCCGAACATGAGGATACCAGCACAGGCCATACCGACATCGATCAAGTAGGTGAAGATGTAGGTGACATTGACGGCCTTCCTGTACTTGTATGGGTGTCGCATGTCGCGGTAGATATTTGGGAAAACAGAGTGGCCACCCCAAGGAGACATGAGTAGACCAATCGAGAGTGGCACGGTCATCCAGTTGTCGGGGAACAAATATTGGGTCATTGGCTGACGAATGGAGCCGGGAGCGTCGGGTTTGGCAAGTCCATCGACCCAGATAGCGAGGGTGACTATTTCGTGTTAGCTGACGTATATGAAGCATGTGGTTATTGACTCACTTCCAAAGCAAGACATTACACCCAAAATAGATGTGAATGACAGAAAGCGGAGGGGTAGGAAGCTCAATGGTATCAAGATCAGCCCGCAGACAATCTTCCATTGGAAGACGTCCCAACCGGGGATGAGAGCGTCCATACTGTCAGCGAAAAGCACGACCAATGCTACACATGCTGCTAGTAGCTCCAGCGAGAACAGAATGCTGGTGGCCACTCGCGCTTTGGTTCCAAAAGAGACGTAGGCAAGATCAGCAAAGGTAATGAGAGAACCATCAACGTCGAGACATTTGGCTAGGAGCTTTGCAGTGTAGCCAGTCACTATGGCAGACCATGCGAGGAAAACCATGCCTATCAGCCATCCAGAGTACTTGAGCGCAAGTGGCAACGTGAGCAGTCCAACGCCGACCAGAACGTTGACGGAGTTGAAGATTGTCTGGGGTAGGGTGGATTGACCAACAACTACGTTGATAATGTGTCCATCCTCCTCAACCTGCTTGACCAGGAGCGGCTCTCGTTCTTGTTCTGGCTCCCCAACGCCCTTCATCTGTTGCTCTGTGAAGAGTCGGCCGGCATGGCGCATAGACGACTCGTTGACGCGCGAACTCAGACTGCCGTATCCCGTGCCATAACTCGCGCCGAAGGGTGACGATAGCGAAGGTTCGATCTGGAAGATGCTCGACCCTCTCCCTCGCAGGCGCTGTTCGACGCCGTTGGGCAGCAGCTGGCTCCGCTCGGTCGCGCCATTCTCCTCGTCTGTGATGGCATTGTCGGATGCGCGTCTGCCCTCGTTCTGGAAGGCCTGTCGCAGGGCGGATCGTTGGTCGGGTACTGGTGTGGGCAATCCGCTGCGCGAGAAGTCGGATTCCTCTGTGTCGTCGCCGTCTTCGTCGTCTGTCTCGACGCGGAAGGAAGGGCGCACGGGGGTGATCTCGAAGAAGCCTGCTGCACGCTGCCACGATCGCGCAAAGTTGTTGATGCTGTTGACGCCTCCAACTTCGCCCAGCGCGCTAATCTGCTGTCCTACGGAAGACCTGCTTTCTGTTAGCTGCCGTGTCACGCGAACGGCGCGATATGCTCACCTCCGCCTGCGCAGCTCTCCCGCGGTGCCCGTCCACCTCCCGGCATTGCTCTCTCCACTGGGCCGCCTCGAGAGCTCGTCCCACTGCACATGGCTCTCCGTATCTGAGTCGATGGATGGGCGGTTGGAGTCGTAGGCGCTCCAGGCGGATGGCTGCTTCCCTCTGTTATCCATGGTGAGTACGTCAGGGCGTCACGACAGATGGAGCAGGCGCGACCAAGAAGAACGTATGGGGCAGGACAGGCGATATATCGTCTAAAACTGTTGATTCAAACCCTGCAGGGAGGCGGGAGCTACTTGAGTCGATAGCTGGCTATCGTCGGGATGAGATTGCGCCTGGTGGATTGCGGGTGATAGCCGCTATCCATGACCGTCCTGATTATATAAAGAAGCGCCGAGCGAGACACTTCTGCCATAGAAAGACGCAGAAAGTCAAGATGGCTATCACGAGGGATTCATGCGGCCCCGCCGGTCTGCCGTCATAGCTGCCCCCAGCCGGAGCTACCCAAGGCACGCGCTGATAACGGGTTACTGCACATGCGCTGCTGCTGCTCTCCATGCCCGCCGCCCGCTGAGTGGCCGTGCAAGCGAGCCTCTGTCAGCGCCCAGTCGACTGCCCTACCGTGACTGTGCTGCCTTACGGGCACAGTCAGGGACAAATAAATTCACATAAGCCGAGTGGGCTGCCGTTTGCCTCTCCTGAAGACTTTCGCATTCACGTAGCCAAGGCGCGCAGTAGTCACAGGCCGCGCTCTCCACCCTCCTCCCGCCGCCAGTCGGCAGCTACGTCGCTTGTTCTTGCCCCTCGCCGAACAAGAAAATCTCTCGACCCCACCAACACCACTACCTCACCTCGACACCACCGCCGCGACCATGTCGTCCGGGAAGAATGAGCAGCCCAATGAGGCCGAGAAGAACATTGAGATCTGGAAGGTCAAGAAGCTAATCAAGCGTCTCGAAGCAGCCCGCGGGAATGGCACATCCATGATTTCCCTCATCATCCGTATGTGACACCTGACGACCTAGCAAAATGCCGCAGACTGACCATGTGTAGCGCCCAAGGATCAGGTTTCACGTGCCGCGAAGATGTTGGCTGAAGAATTCGTGAGTACCAGGACACCCTGCGCCGGCGCCGTCACTAATTTTCCAGGGTACCGCCTCCAACATCAAGTCGCGCGTCAACCGTCTCTCCGTCCTGTCGGCCATTACCTCGACCCAGCAGCGCCTCAAGCTCTACTCAAAGGTTCCGCCCAATGGCCTCGTTGTCTACTGCGGTGAAATTATCACCGCGGAAGGCAAGGAGCGCAAGATCAACATCGACTTCGAGCCCTTCAAGCCTATCAACACGTCGCTATACCTTTGCGACAACAAATTCCACACCGAGGCCCTGAGCGAACTGCTAGAGTCGGATCAGAAGTTTGGCTTCATCATCATGGACGGAAACGGTGCGCTCTTTGGCACTCTGTCTGGAAACACGCGTGAGATTGTCCACAAGTGAGTGCGACCAATACCTTTTAGCATACAGCTCACTAATCGGTGCAGGTTCTCCGTCGATCTCCCCAAGAAGCACGGCCGTGGTGGTCAATCCGCTCTGCGTTTCGCCCGTCTTCGTGAAGAGAAGCGCCACAACTACGTCCGCAAGGTCGCCGAACTGGCTGTACAGAACTTCATCACCGCCGACAAGGTCAACGTAGCCGGTATCATTCTCGCTGGTTCCGCCGACTTCAAGAACGACCTTAACCAATCCGATCTCTTCGATAACCGTCTGCAGTCCAAGGTCATCAAGGTCGTCGATGTGTCCTACGGAGGCGAGAACGGTTTCAACCAGGCCATCGAGTTGGCTGGCGAGACCCTCAGCAACGTCAAGTTCATTCAGGAGAAGAAGCTCATCAACGAGTACTTTGACCACATCTCCAAGGACTCCGGCAAGGTCTGCTACGGTATCGACGACACCCTGAAGGCTCTGGAGGCTGGTGCTGCTGAGACTCTGATCGTCTTTGAGAACCTGGAGATTACTCGCTGGGTTCTCAAGAGCTCTGCGGGCGCGGAAATCATCCTCCACACCACCAAGCAGCAAGAAGAGGACCGAAGCATATTCATGGACAAGGAAACCGGCCAAGAGATGGAAGTCATCGATCAAGGCTCCATGCTTGAGTGGCTCGCCGAGAAGTACCGCGACTTTGGTGCCAACCTGGAGTTTGTTTCCGACCGTTCATCCGAGGGCAACCAGTTCGTCAAGGGCTTTGGTGGTATCGGCGCCATCCTCCGTTATGCGCTCAACTTTGAGCAACTGCAAGACTTCGACGAAGATGAAGATGAATTCTACGATGATTGACGGTTGTGCGTCCTCGCTGACTGCGAGGTAGCGTCCCCACTCGCTCCGAGTGACGGAACGTCCGCTACCTGCGCGAAAAGTCAAAAAGACGTGTCCGAGATCAAGGCCGGAGTAGTCGAAGCAACGACACTTCGCCTTTCCAGATTGTAAGATGGGAGTGCCTATGGAGGGTTTGCAATGTACGACTAGTATCCGTCCCCCAGCAACCATTGACTAATCTTTACAAGGT